CTACTCTAGGGCCAGGGATTTAGCTCAGTGGTGCTGCTGTCTGCCTCACAAGCACAAGGTCCTGAGTTCCATCCCCGGCACCAAAACAAAAACAAAATAAAAAACAAATGACTACTCTCTCCATTAAAACACATTCTTCCAAAGGAAAAAATAGAAACAAAGTCTTTGTAAATAGAGAAGGGTGGAGGGGGTGAAGGGAGGCCAGGGGAATGGGGAAAAGATAAGAACCAAGATACGTCATGTAAAGGTACAGGATCCCAATGATGAGTGAAACTGTATTATATACCTAAAATATACCAATAAACTTAATTTAAAAAACCACATTATTCCTTGGCTCCAAGACAGCACACTCTCCTATCTTCTTCTCCCACAGGTTGATCCTTTCTTTTCTTTCCTCCTCTTTTGCTCAATTAACCCCCAGGACTCTTCATCTGTACTGTTCCTTCTTTGAGCAATCTCATCCATTTCCAATGACTTCCAAATTTTGGAAGCATAACCAAAAACCAGAAGCATATCCAATAACCTACCTGACATCTCTACCTAGCTGTCTGATTGACATCACATCTTCACACATTCATTATACATATTTTCATATTTTTGATGGTACCCACCTTCACCCCTCTCTCCTTCAACTCACTCCTCTTCAAATCTTCCCCTATCTTAGCTGACATAGCACCACCATTCACTCAATTATTCAGGACAAATACCTGGAATCATCCTGGGTTTTTCTTCCCCTAGACCCCACATGCAAATCTATCAACAAGTCCTGTATACTTCTCAGTTGGGTCGGTCCCTCTATTCTCTACTAGCATACTAGTCCAAGATACTGAACCCTCACTCCATCTACTACAATAATCTCCTCCTTAAACCTCCCTGATAGACCGTTCTCCCAACAGCAGATTACATGTCCAAAAAATTCAATCAGATCAAAATTCTATCCTGTCAAACAAACAAAAAGTCTTCACAATAGTTTATAAGTCTCTACAAGATCTGGCCCCTATCTACCTTTCTGACCTCATTTCCTACCAGCTCCCCTCCTTACTTCCTGTTTCATGCATATTTTGTGTTCATTTCTGCCCTATGGCCTTTATACTAGCCATTCCCTCTTCTCTGTGTACAGCTGGCTCCTTTTGGTCATTCAAAGGTCAGCATGAATTTTATCCCCTCAGTAACCGTTGCTCCCAACATTAATGTATCACCATGGTGTATGCTCACTTTAACACTCTGCCCTATCAGACATTTTGTGTTTGTCTACTGCTTGTCTCTTTCCCATAACCACATCCACTTCTGACTAGCTCATCACTCTATCACCACCACTAAGAATGGTGCAGGCCTGGCAATAAATGGATGGGTCTATAGCCCAGAGGAATGATCTGGGCTGGAGATATAAATTTATGTCCAAACAGGTGTGGTTACTAAAACCAATGAGAGGGACTGAGATCCCCCAGGAAAAATGTCTACTATGAGAAGAGAGGAGGACCTGGGAGACTAAATATTTAATAGCTGTAGAAAGGAAGATGAGCCTGCAAAAACAACAAAGTAGGAAGAAGAATAGGACAGTGAATGGTACATACTAGGGTCAAGAGAGGAATGTTTCTGAGCCAGGTGTCATGGCACACCCTTATAATCCCAGGATTTGGGAGGCAGAGGCAGGACGGCTGCCATGAGTCAGAGGCCAGCCTGGGATATATAGTGAGTTCAAGGTCAGCCTGAACTATATAGTGAGACCAAAAAAACCAAAAAATAAAAACAAACAAAACACAAGAGAGATGAAGGAGTATTTCTGGAAGGAAAGAAGAGTGGTCAGTAGTGTGGGAGGGCTGAAAAAACTAAAGACTGAAAATGTGTTGAATTCAGCTTGGTGGAGAACATTAGTAACTTCAGTAAGAAGTGTCAGTGAAATGCCAGGGGGCAGAAGCCAGACTGGAGTGGACTGAGAGGAGTGAGAAAGTGAATAAACAGCTTTTTAGAAAAGTCTGCCTGTGTGAAAGGGAAGGGGATTAAGAGAAGGGAGAATTGGGGAGGGGGGTCTTAGTTTTTGTTTAATGGAGGCACCATTCTAGCACTGTCACGGGAATAAGCTGCAAGGCTCAGTAGGGCCAAGACACCTCAAGATTTCAGATCTTTCTTACTCTCACACTCAGCTCAGAATGTAACTTTCCTTGGACTGATTCTGACTCCTACATGTCCAGAGCATCAATTAAAGGTTCTTGTTTATGCATACGTCTCATCTCCCTTAATATAATGGAAGAAAATAAATGGCTTTCTATACGTTTTTCCTTGGTGCTATCAGGAAAGAATAGTGGGCTGTACATACTAGAGGCTCTGAGTAAAAAGGTTTTATGCTATTGTCCACTTTAATTTGAAGACATATTTTTGGAGGGTCATTGATATTTCTACTCCAAGAAATGACTGTCTTTCCATTTTACAGCCTCTAGAGAATACCCCATTTTCTCTGTTCCATACTCATGCCACCCTGCCTGCTTGCTGCCCAAGCAACATGCTACAATGGAAAGAGCACACATAGTTTTCAAAGTCAGAGGACCTAAGGGCTGGGGAGGTAGCTCAGTGGCACCACCTGCCTGGCAAGCGCAAGGTCCTGGGTTTGATCCCCAGTACCAGAAAATAAATACATACACACACACACACACACACACCCCAAACAAAGACAGAGGATCTGCATCCCAACTCTAATTCAGACACACAGCAGTTCTGGTGATTAAATTTTATGACCAGCCAGACACGGGAGCACATGTCTATAGTCCCAGCTACTTGACAGGCAAAGGCAGGAGGATCACTTGACCTCACAGGTTCGAGACCAACCTAGGGAACACTGTGAGACTCACATCTCTCAAAACAAATGAACAAACAAAAACCCAAATATTTCATAACCTCAGCTTTTGTCAACTGTATAGAAAGATGGTATCTAAACTTCAAGGAGCTGCTGTAAAAAGGGCATAAAAATATATATTAAGTGCCTAGGCACATAAGGCCTGACATAAATTCAATTTTCTTGTCACCACCATTCTGAGTAAGCCTACACATTTTTATTTTGTTTCTCTTTCCCTTTGTCTAAATATAACAGGAAGTCTTTGGAAAAGGGAATCTTGAGAAACTAATCTGAGCAGTTCCACTAGAAGTAATTTTAGAGCAAATCTGAAAGGTAGGTGGGTGGGGCCAGAGGTCTAACCAAGCTGCATTTGAAAGGAGGAAAGGATACCCAAGTCAGAAGAAACAGCCTTTCCCCTGAGTTCCTTCTTGTAGCTCCCACCACTGGCTCTGTGTCTTTGAGTATGTCAGGCTTGCCAACATCTTCAGGATTAAAAAACAAAACAAGGCCGGGGATTTAGCTCAGTGGTTAGGCACCTGCTGCATAAGCACAAGGTCCTGAGTTCAATCCCTGGTACAAAAAAAAAGACAACTTACATTCACAGACACACCAGGCAATAAAGCAAACAGTGGAATCCTAAATTCTAATTTTGTCTCTCTGATTTACTAGTTCTGTTACTCTTATAAAACTACAATTCTCTAAAATTTCCTCATTTATAAAATGGAAATGATGTATCTTGACCCCAAGATTATAAGGATCAAATGAAATAATATGAAATAATATATGTGAAAGTACTATGTACATTATAAAACACAGTTCCTGTTATATTACAGGCTCACAAAGCAGTCTAGCTTTGGCCAGTTTAGGTGTGAAGTTTCACTCAGAAAGTCTTCAATTCTAAAATATTCTGTGATCCAAGCTGCCTATTTTTCAGCTCAGGTCTTCTATTTCCTAATTTTACTTGATTCCCTTATCTTAGCAAGGTTCCCTGCACTCCTCTGACAAAAGGATTCTGTGTCTCCAAAACAGTAAAAACCACTGGACGTAATAATATTTATTTGTCCTTTTGGTTCCAACATTCTAAGCCTTTCCATCCTATGCTCCCACAGTATTTGTTCATATCTCTATTTGACCAATTTCCACAGTCTACACTGCATTCGAGTTTTAATCTTGTATCATCTCTAAAGGAAAAAGCAAAAGGTAGAGGGCTGGGGATTTAGCTCAGTGGTTTCACCACCTGCTACGCAAGCGCAAGGACCTGAGTTTGATCCCCAGTACCAACAACAACAACAAAAAAGGTAGAGATTTACCTGAGTTTTAGACTCTCCACAGCACTTATCAAGGAGCTTTATATACAGAAAGCAGTCAAAAAGTATTGGTTGAATTGAGTTGATGTAATTTTTTACTCTTTACACTTACTATCCATACCTTACAATTATAACCATCTTTTAATTTTTCTATATTCCATTCCTTTTGTACATCCAAAAGGCCTGGCACAATGTGAAACAAAGTCAATATTTTTTAAGAACCTATCACTGGTTCATGTCTTGATTAAGGTGAAAGAGCTTAAAGCCAAAGAACCTATCCTAACCTACAATTCTTGATAACTAAACTGGGTTACTGACATATAAATACATTTATCAAAGTGTCATAGACGAAGACTGCTTACTAATACTCATGACACAGAGAGAGGTAAATGAAATGCTGGCATCCTGAGCTTTTTTCTCCCCAAAGGCACCAAAATGTGGTAAAAAGGCAAACATATTGATAGTCAACAGATGCAGACTCTGGAGTTCATCTCTAGAAAATGCTTCTAAAATTAGGCTCCCAATGCCAGGGATTTAGCTTAGTGATTCTGCCACCTGCCTTGAAAGCACAAGGTCCTGAGTTCGATCCCCAATACAAAAAATAAATAAAATGGCTCCCACTGATCTCCCTTCCCTAGTATCCAAGCTCTTATGCGTGCCCCTCCCTTTGAGTGCAGGCTGGGACTAGTGTCTTACATTTTCTAGTGAAGAAAATATGGTAAGAGTTATGAAGATGTTCACTTCTAAAATCAGGTTATTAAAAAACTGGCTCCTTTCTTAGTATCACATGCTTATGTGCACACGTGTACTTGCTCCCATAATCCCTCTCTCACTCTTGCTATTTTTTGCTTGCTTTGATAAAGCTAGATGCTGCGATGGAGAAGCTTATACAGCAAGGAGTTGAAGGAGGCTTCCATCTACCAATCAACCCTCCGTACAGTTGCTGAAGAACTGAATTCTGCCAATACTCACTGAATAAATTTGGAAGCAGGTCCTGTCCTTCTCTAGTTATATTTTCAGATGACTACAGTGCTGGCTGATACCCTGACTGCAGAGTTGTAGGAGTCCCTGAAACAGAGAGGCCCAATTAAATAGCATGCCCAGTTTCTGACTCTCCAGACACTATGATATAGCATTGTTTTGTCCCACTAAATTTTGCTGTACAACAACAGATAACTAAGTTACCTTGCATATTTTCTTAAAAGGAAAGATGGAGAATCTATTGATAAAGATTCTTCAAAAGCATTATCAACCAATCACAAAGTTAACTAACTCAACAAACAAGTTACAAAAAAATTTATATTAATGAGACAAATGAAATTTGAAAGACTGGATATTTAATGATACATTAGTGAATTTTTATTGATTTTTTTTTGGTAACCAGGGATTGAACTCAGGACCTTGCACTTGCAAGGCAGGCAGCGGAACCACCGAGGAGCTAAATCCCTGGCCCATTTTTATTGATTTTTATATATTAAAGTTATGGGGGTATTTTAATTTTAAGAAGTGCTGGGAAGGGGGGAAGTCTTTAAGAGAGAGAGACACTGACATACAGATAAAAATATATATTGGAATTTGCGTGAAAATACAGGATGAAGTGCTAGGGCTACAGATCACTGGCAGAGCACATATTTAGCATGAGAAGGCCCCAGATTCAGCAGACAATAAAAGGAAGGAGAGAAGGAAGGAAGGAAGGAAGGAAGGAAGGAAGGAAGAAAGGAGGGAGGGAGGGAGGGAGGGAATGTAAAACAGATCAAATGGATAGGCATATGATGAAACAAAACTGATTGTGAGTTCCTAGGTGTTGAAACTGGGTACACGGGAATTCATTACGAAGTAGAATGGGTAGATATAAGGATGTAGTTTAGAGGTAGAGTACTTGCCTAGATATACAAAGCCCTGGGTTCAATCCCTAGAACTGCAAAATTAATTACTTAAAATAAAATACAGAGCCAGGATTTAACTCAGCGGCACCATGCCTGCCTCACAAGCGCAAGGTCCTGAGTTTGATCCCTGGTACCAAAAAAATTAAAATTAAATAAAATACAGAAGTGGGGGAGGATGTGGTAAAATACAAGAGTTCATGGCCATTCTAATTCTGACATCTCTGATCCCACAGTACCTCAAGGCCTACGCTATACTCTGACCTTCCCCTGGTTTCCTATATTGGGTACACCACTTCAGTCCATGTTAGTAACTAACATTATCACTGTTCCACAGAAACTGTTGAGCACTTATATCTGATTAGTTAAAACAAAACTATTTAGACAATTTGCCTCTAGAAAGTGAAGAGAATGGAGTAACAGGACAGCTAACTGATACAAGGAGCTTGGCAAAAACTAGGAGAAATCACTCTAGGGTATCCTACACTAAGGAACCATCACTTGTACTTTATTACCGCCTCTTTATCCTGCTTGCATAAGTATTTCAACAAGTCCCTCTTATGCTGAATACCAACTTAATTTCTTAATCCCTTAAAGTTTAACTAAGTTTCAGGTATATGGACTGCTGTGAATGACCTATTTTCCAATATCTAATTGGATTTTTTTCAGCTAATTTAAAAATCTCATTGTCTATATAAGAAAATAATAAGAAAGAAGTCATATATGATTTTTCTCTTCAGAGTCTAATTCTTAGGTAGGAGAATCAACTTTTGAAGTGCCGACTATATGAGAAAATTCTCATTGAATGTGAAAAGTGATGGAGCAACAAATGAGAACTCAGGAACTAGCTATACACTCTTCCTTGAGGTATACTACCATTTCTACTGCCACATCCCATTTCTGTAAAAGACGCTCGGTCATGCTAGCTTCAATCATCCATACAACATTCATATCCTAACCCCTAACCCTCATCCTCTGGTGTAGCTACAGATACTCAAGACACCACAGAGGGAGGGTTGCCTGAAATCAGGAGTTCAAGTTCAGACTGTGCAACATACCAAAACACTGCCTCTTTAAAAAAAAAAAAAAAAGAATGGTCATGAGATATACACTTGTATCTCAGGGGTTTTCCACTCTGGCTAAATATCAGGAAAACTTGGAGAGCTTGTGAGTATCTGACAAATGACCTAATTTCTACACCAAGTCAATGACATAAAAGGGGGATAACAGCAGAAGATGAATAACTCTAGATTAAAAGAAATAGGAAAAATAACCTAATAAACCATGTGGACTTTGACTGCACTCTTACCTAACTAAATGCACAGATATTTCTGAAACAAAGAAATTTGATTATTAATTAGAAATTAGGTATTATGATTTGCTGATTGTATTTAATTTGATGATGGCATTATGAGTAATTATGGAAAATATCTAATTTAAAGATGTACATTCAGGTATACAGGAGTAAAATGACGATATGTCTAAGACTTGTTTTAACATTCTTCAGAAATGAAAAAGGAAGTTGTACGCCAAGAGCCAAAATGTTGTTCCCAAAGTATAAGCATTGTGCCTGGCCACTCTGCCCACCAACCTCAACCCAGCCTACTACATGTCTCCAGAAGCCCAGAAAGTATAAGCCCAGCAGGTGGCCATTAGAGCCCCACTTAAATGGGAGTATCTGCATCAGCACAAGGAACTTAACGGCCAAGGATCATCAAAGATCCCACCTTGATTCAATGGACCTATGCAAGATCAACACATACCTATCCCAATTTCAACACACTCCCAAGAACTCACTCTTAGGAGCTGTACTTGGAATTGGGCCCCTCTTCTGGTATTGTCTCCAAGACTGATAGGAATAAGAAGAAAAAACTTAATCAGGAAGAAAAATTGGATTGAGCATTTAGTATCTTATATTGTGTCTGGCAATGACTATATTCATTCTTACATAAATAAATCTCATACTAATCAATTAAAAAAGACTCAGGAGTGATGGCACATGCCTGCAATCCCAGCACTCTGGGATGCTGAGGCAAGAAGGTCAAAAATTTGAGTCCAGCCTAGGAAATTTACTGACTTAAAGAGACTGTATCGCCAAAAAAAAACACAAAACCTTTTAAAAGTGCTGGGAATATACCTTAGTGTGAAGGCACTGGGTTCAATCTCCAGTACTGAGGAGGGAGAAGGAAAGAAAAGAAAGAAAAAGGGAAGGAAGAAATGGGTGAATTAAATGTGAAATCTCTTGAAAAATTAGATATATGTAGATTCATGTAGTAACCTCCCTACTTTGATGTATTTTTAAATTCTTTATAATTAAAAAATTTTAATACTAATACCTAATAAAACCAGTATCTACCAAAGTTGAACAATACTGTTCCTTGGTACTAAGAAATGAGTGTACATGTCCACCGAGAGACATAGACAAAATAAAAATGTTCACAGCAGCTTTCTCATGTAAGTGCAACTGGTAAGATTCCAAGTGCCCTTCAATAGCAGAAAAAGTTACTGTGGTATATTCATATAGTATTACATAATGCTACACACATCATGGATGGATATCCAATATGATGTTGAGAAAAAAATGCCAGAACTAAAAAGAGTGCATACTGAGTCAACTTATATGAAATTCAAGAACAGACAAAACTAGTCAGTAAAGACAGGCTAAGGGCTAGAGATGTACCTCAGAGATGAAGCACTTGCCTGAAGCCCTGGGTTCAACCCCCAGTTCGACAGTGATGGTGGGGGGAAGTGTGTGTTTATGGGGGAGAGGTAGTATTGATGAGGAAGAGGCATGAGAGAGCTTCTCAAGTTTTGACAATGTTCTGTGTCTTCCTTTGCTGTATTATCTTGATATGAGTATTTTATACAACTACAAGTATATTTAAAAGCTTACTGAGCTACCTGTGTAGATTACTGTAGACCCATAATTCATGAGCAAACAATAGAGGAGTGAACAAAAATCAGAATCTTAGGTATTTTGTAAAAGTTCTATAAGTAATTCTTATGTGTAGCCAATGCTAAAACCATTCTTCTATTTCAGCAAGCTCAAACTTAAGGTTCCCTGGTATTCTACTACAAAAATAGTAACTGTGAGACATAAACAAAGGTAATAAACACAGAAGCTGAAAGGATGGCAGGGCAGAGTAGGGAGAGGGGAACCTGTTTGAAAAAGGTAAAGCTTCAGAACGAACAGGAAGCACAGGTCAGTGGTGATGCAACTAAGAACATAGCTGAAAGCAACAGTAAGTAGGACAACTCAGATCTTAGTTCCAGCTTTTTAATGAACACTATATGGATAAGACTTTAGGCAAATTCTCCATTTCTCTAGATCTCACTAGGATCTCTTACAGTTTTTTGTTTGTTTGGATTTTTGTGGTATTGGGGGATTGAACAAGGGCCTTCACACTGAGCTACATCTCTAGCCCCTTTCTATTTTTTATTTTAAGATGGGGTCTTCCTAAGTCACTAAACTACCCAGGCTGGTCTTGAACTTGTGATCCTCATGCCTCAGCCTCAAGGAGTGCTGGAATTACAGGCATGTACCACCATGCTGTGCTTCTTACAGTTTTTAAACAAAGTCTAGAGAGGCAATCGAGAGGAATCATGTAGAAACAGGCCCTCTAACAGACCCTCAGTTTACTAGCATAGCAATTTTCACTCTGTATTGTAATTGTCTGTTTATCTCCCACACCAAACCTTGAGCTCCCCAAAAGCCAGGATTATGCATTTTATCTCTCAACCAAGCACATGCATACATAAACCTTGACACATCAGTAAATGTGCTGAAAATTATGAGTGTCTGTACTTATATAGACATGAAAAAGAATAATTCATCTTCTACAAGGACACTCTTTCAAATAACAAAATAGTATTTTTCTTATTAATAACAATTAAAGGAAGTCCAGATTCTAAAATGTCCAGAACCATGTGAAATTCAGAATCCCTAGAAGATGTCCTGACAGAGGCCTCAAAAGTCCATGCCTCTTATTCCTCAAATAATATATTTCCTACTAAGGAGGCAGAAGGATCTCTTGAGCCCAGGGGTTCACTGCCAATCTGGGCAACACAACAAGACCTTGTTTCAAACAAAACAAAACAAATAATATGCCTAACATCTAATGCTTATATATTATTTCATAGTTCAAAGAACTTTTACAGCCATATTCTCAAACCTCACAACAATATTTTGAGGTGGTATTATCAAACAGACTTTATATAGGAAATTGAAGCTCAAACTGTAAATTATGTGCTGGTCTAAAGCAAGTTGATAACTACTGAAGACGGGCTTTCATATGTAGCCTCTTTCTTCAATGCATAGTAGAGGCAGAAAAGGGATCATTACCTCCATTCCCTAGCTTCTCAAGATGAGATGGATCAGTCCATTAGCTGCTATTACTTTACAGAGCTATCTCTTAAGTTTTTCTTATCCACATGAGAATCAGTTATATAGATTATTTTTATTATATTTTAAGCAAAATATAAGGCGAGGCCGGGGAAAAAAAATCCACAAGATGGCAAACAGCCACACTTATTAAACTGCTGGCGCATATCTTTGTATATAAAGCTAAAGAAATTACAGAAAAGCATGCTCCAGCAAGAAGTTGCAAGCTGTACAGACCAAAAAGCCCCTCAGCAGTTACGCAGTTATGCACAGCTTATTTAGTGTGGATTTCTTTCACCTGTACTAGCTATTGCCTTCTTCATGCCATTCTAAATTCTTTGAGAGGTCATATCTTCATTAATTTACATATCCCCAGTACAATGACCATATAATACCCAAATCAAAACTGGATCACCAATCATGTTTTTCTGACCTCATAATTTATATAATCTTAAGTTAATTTAAAAATTAAAATATATAATTAACAAACTGACATTCTTCAACAGAATGACATATAAAATTTAGAACCTCTAAAAAACAAACACAAAAGAGCACAACACTTACCAAGGTGCCAGGTACACATTTGAGTGGGCACTCAATAAAGGTGTGGTGCATGAATGATAACAGAGCTTAAAATCCATTGAAAAAGACCACTTACTGTACACTGGGTATGGTGGCACAGACCTGTAATCCCAGCAGTCAGGATGCAGAGACAGGAGGACTGCCATGTTCAAGGCCAGCCTGGGCTCCACAGTGAGTTCAAGGCTAGCCTAAATTACAGAATGAGACCGTCTCAAAAAAACAAAACAAAACAAACCACTTATGGCCATCAAACAAGAACCAAGAGATGCATAGCAAATATCAAGTTAACTGGAAAGACAATAAATTCAGTTCTAAGGCAATTTCAACCAGTCATGCTTGGAGTGACATAAGTGAATACTGGTTGTAAGTACCATATTGTATCTACAGCCGACATCTACATCTCAAATGAATGCACTGCAGCCAGCATCCAACCAGGAGTAACTCACCCCCTTCAACCCTTACTCCCCACCAACAATGCCCTGAAGCCCTCCCTCCCTGCCACAGGATTGCAGAAGTTAAAACAGGCAATACTAAAAGAAGAAAACGAGCATGCCACCTGACACTTTTCTGGCACAGCCTCAGCTGATTAGTTTAGGTTACAAACATGACTGTAAGATTCCAGAACACTGATGAGACTACTCTTTTTCTGAAAACTAAAAATAACCTAGTTATCAAAATAGGAGCATTCCTCAAGTATTTCTGCCCCGTCAGCAACTCTAAATTCTGTGTCCTCAAATACTTCATCTAGTCTATTTGTGTCACATGGATCCAGATCTCCAGATCTCCCCTTTCTTCCCCACTTCTTATTCTAAACCTGCCCTGTAAACAGAGCAGGAGACTTAAAATGCTTTCCCAACTCATGCACTTAAAAGTTTCTCTTCCAATAAACAAACAAGTGCAGAGATTTGTGGTTTCTTCCTTGTATACAACTGGAAGGGTTCAGGTGCAACAAATAATGAAAGGAAAGAAAAAAAAAGGAGGAGGAGGAGGAGGAGGAGGAGGACGGCGACGACAACAAGGAAGACGACGACAAGATAGGGCATGATCAGGAAGTCAGCTAAATGCTTTTCATTCAGGCAGGAATGGAAAGAGTCCCAGCCACAGAGAAGAATACAGCATAAGGGCAAGTGGTGCTCAGTACAGAGCCAGACTACGTTTTTTCACCTTAGAATAGCCACAAAGCCTGCTCTAGAGAGAGAGACTCACGTCCAAATTGCTCTGAACTCAGCTATCCTGACGCTGAAGTGACTTCTTCAGGAAAAAGAAACTCCCATAATTCAAACCAAGCAAGTTAAGCTTGAAATGCAGATTTTACAGTCAAAAAAGCTGAGAGAGGGGCTTAAATCCTATCACTAAGAAGGAATGTGAAGGAAGCTAGAAAACTCTGCCCCCTCAGCTCTCAGGGCCCGGGAGTAAGCCAGCATTCCTTTTCCCAAAGCAAAAACTATGAACTTTGGACTTCCTTGTTCTTTGCAATAGCATCAGAAAAATGCCACAATGCCATGCCACCCTATAAAGACAAAAGGCATCTGCTATTCCAGAATAGTCACACTTGGGATATACACCATTTTATTTCCTACAAACCCAAGTTTCAAGTTGACTTCTCTCGCTGTTATTTTTAAACTTTTACCATCTCTTTTTAAATAACAAAACAATTAGTTTATCCATAAAATCTATAGTCAGAAACATTTCTCCTGAAAGAAAAAAAAAAAAACTTTAGCCTGAGACCACCCAAGGAGTACTGGCAAACTTCCAAAGCAGAATTTATGCTGTACAACAAAAGCAAAGTGTAAATTGAAGTCTTTCATCAAACAGTATCAGAAGAAACTTCTTAGAATTCATAAAATCAAGGAATATCAGAGCTGGAAGTGGGGCATCATGGTGCACATCTGTAACCTCAGCACTCTGGGAGGCTGAGGCAAGAGGATTGCAAATTTGAGCCAAGCTCAGGAAACTTAGCAACTTAGCAAGACTCTGTCTCAAAATAAAAAATTTTAAAAGGCTGGGGATGCAGCTCAGTGCAAAGGGCCTCGGTTCAATCCCCAGTATTGCCCAAAAAATATCAGAGCTGGAAAGGACAGCAATCATCCAGGCTTTCCTTTTTATTTTTTTATTTATTTTCCCCTAGTACCAGGGATCAAACTCAGGACCTCAAGCTTGCAAGGCAGGTGCTGTGCCACTGAGCTAAATCCCCGGCCCCAGGCTTTCCTTTTTAAAATGAGAGGACTAAGTCCCAAAGAGAAGAAATGGAGTCTTGAAGTAAAATAGGACCTATGCGTGAGATTCCTAACTCAGACATCTTACACTTAATCATAGCTCTTCGTAAGACTGAGTGTATGGGGTCAAGTGGCAAAGGAAAGAGGGCAAAAGAAAGTACAGTAAATGACAGCAAGCCAGAGAAGCCAATGTAGT